TGTGGCCCTTAGGCCACATTTTTCCCAGGTCTGCAGTAGTCTGTCCACAACAGGAAACCGTATGTTGTGATTTACTTCGTGGCTCATAATTATTATGAACAACTATAGCCAGTTTGTGCAGGAATAGCAGAAGTTAAGAGCAGGGTGGATAGAATCTGTGATTTTGTAAAAAAAATCAAATTGATTTAAATCAAGTTTTAAAATTTAAATTGTCCTTATTATGAACAACTATAGCCAGTTTGTGCCGGAATAGCAGAAGTTAAGATCAGGGTGGATAGAATCTGTGATTTTTTTAAAAAAAATCAAATTGATTCAAATCAATTTTTAAAATTTAAATTGTCAAAAAATGCAATTATTTGATATGAATTGCGATTTAAATCAAACCCACACTGGTTAAGATTGTTACTATGTGCTGTCAAGTCTCTTCTCATTTATGCCCCCCCCCAGTAGAGTTTTCAAGATATATGAGATATTCAGAGTGGCTTACTTTTGCTGTCTCCGAGTGAGTTTATATGGTTAAGCAGGGATTTGAACCCAGATCTCCTGAGTCCTAGTTTTATATTCTATCTGCTAAACCACAGTGGCTTATGCAGATATTAGGTTATGTTTCTCTAAAGACCACATAGCAAGAAGCATATGGGGGGCTATCCTGACATGTTGACTTCCTTGTGACTGGGTTTATTTCAGAGATACTTAGGTTATGTCATAGTGTGTTTGATTTTGCACATGTAATGGACACCTCACCAATAGAGCAAAATGATCTTGTCCACCTTTCTATAGAAGAACTTTTTGATATGCCAAAATAGGGGAGTACCCTAATGTAGAAGAAACGAGTGCCCTGATCTTTACTTATGCTATGTAATCTCAGTGCCTTTATCGATATCAGAAAACCGATTCTCTGAGTTCCCCTCTAAATTGCTGTTGTTTGGCAGATTTATAAGCTGAGATGTTAGGAGGTGTTTCCTTCCCAGTGGAGTGAATATTGGCCTAACTATATAGAGGGATATTTATCTGTTTTTTGTGGGGGGATATGGGAGACAAAACTATCTCTGACAAGGATCTAGACGAATTGATCTGGACAGTGGTGGAAACCAGTACAGGTCTAACATAATAGTAAAAGTGAATACAGTATAAAGGAACACTATTTAGTGAAATGGAAAAGTGGTGGTAGGATGATAAATGTGGCTTACTTTTTCTGTGTATCCAGACATTCTTTTCTGTAGCAGGCTTTCTTGAATATAGCATCCTGTTTCGGGTGTAGAGGAAGATGCATTTGGCATCTTCTCTGATCTTAAGGGCGTCCTGGGAACTCAGAAAGAGTAGTACTGCCAGCAAGTTTGGGCTAGGTAGGTGTGTTATCTTATGTAATCATTATATAATTAGTTCTTTGTTCAGCCTTTCCAGAGTGGGAGGAGCCTAAAGCTGCTGAGTGGCCAGAAGGGTTGAGAATGCTCTTTAATTAGCTAGCCTGATAAAAACTGTGGAGGTTTTTTTTAATGCAAAGACTTGGCACTCTGATGCCTGGCAGAAAGACTTTCTCATTTCCCATCCTTAGTGGGAAGTGAAGTTGTGTTTCGTTTGGGCATAAAGAACCTATAAGGATTGTAATGTGTTCTTATGGTTTTTGTTTTCCTCTCTTTCCTACATTTTCATAATAGTGCATTGGCTTTTTCTTCTTGTTTCAGAAAGTAAAGGCTTGGTAGTGCAATAACTCCAGTCTTTTAACTATTCCTCTGCATGCTGCTGAAAATCATAACTTTTCTAGGAAAATTTATCATACGTTTCAATCTAGAAGAAATGAATTTCTCTCTTTCCCACCTTCTTAACTAATTCTACAAAACAATTTTCTTCTGGATTAAGTGACATTCCTATGGCAACTAGAATAGTTGTTTGCATTAATGCATGACAGGAAAATTTATCATTTTCTTAAGCCTAAATTCTCAAACAATGAGAGGAGCAGTTGCTAGGGAAAACTCAGTTTTCTCTCCATTTGCCCAATCATGTTTACCCCCTGCTTCCTCCTTAAAAAGGACCCAAGGACGCTTAGATAAATAAAAACACAATATTAGAAGCTAAAAGCAGCAAATTGTTCAAATATTTAAAAAGAATTTTATATAGAGAGCTGTAAAGAATTATTTTTAAAGCAATTATGAAGGTTTACGGGAATGAAATTTGAGATTATATTCCAGTTTGGTTGGATCTACAATGCTTATGAGCTGCAGAAAATTCTGAGATACACTGTACATTTTGAATTGCTTAGTGCCATGTTTTAAATTTTTTATTCCTATAAAAATAAACAAAGAACATCACAAACAACCTCCACTCCCCAACTCATATAATACTGATGTGAAAGATGTTAGTTCAGGTCATTACTTGCTGTACTAGTTACTACAAAGTGTCTGTCTTTGTTTTTGTTTACATTGAGAATATTTAAAAACATGGCTTTCCCCAGGCTATATACATTCTGCCACCTTATGCTGCTTCACATCTAGCGGAGGCTTATCCAGACTCTGCTAATAGATTAAAAATGGTACAAGTAGCTAAGGATCCACACATGCATCTCAAAGTCATGACACAACTGAGTCATTTTAGGGTCTAAATTATTATTGGTTTAATAAACCTGCATCAATAGGAGGAACAAAGTAAAACTTTGCAGGAAAGATATATATTGGAACAGACAGGATGAAAGAGGAAGTAAAAGCATTTGGGGAGAACGAAGCAAGCCAGTGTACAAACTAGTGCTTCTCCGTGTTTAAGCTGAGACAGCAAATTACTGTTCCCTCTTCCCATCCAAGTTTGATACGAAATTGTAAGAGGTAGTTATTGGATTAGGCAAAATAAATTAGATGTGTATATGAATATTAATGGATATACTTTTCTTCATTTTTTCATGCAGAGGAATAGAACCGCCAGATTCTGTTGGATCCCAGTGGTTATCTTATCTTATATATTTATTTCACTAGAAAAACCATGTAAAAGCTATGAAAAAATATATTTAAGGGAGCACATATGTTGTGACTTTCTGCCACTAGCATTTGATTTTTCAACCCATTGGGATTCTGCATGAACTATGGCTTTGTTTTTGACTCTGGGGAAGTCACTGGTTAAATGACTCATCCTGCAGAATGTGGTCACGTGTACTCCCAGTGCTGCTTCGTACTGCCCTACTTTATTCAGTCTCTTGATCTAGTTATATAATTGTGAATGAAGGGCAAAAGCCATGGGTGTAAAATTGCTGCGTATACTATTACCAAACCTTAGTTGGCGTGATGTGCTGGAGACATGTGATTGAACATGGATAGCAGAGTTCTAGTCTGAGGGAATCCAAGAAACTCGTTTGTGTTCCCAGTGCTGGGTTTCCTTGGGGTAAATGAGTGTAATAGACTGTAGACTTGTCTATTGTGACATTTCTGTTTCCACATGCTTTCCCTAAAGGCCCTGTCTATACTAAAAAATGTGTCAAGTTCATGGTGTGACTCAGCTTGTGCTTCCAGTAAAAGTGAGAGTGGAAGAAAGAGAGAGGTCATTGTTTCAGCTGTACGTGTTGCTTAATAGGTTGTAAAATAGTAATTTGTTGCTGATTGCACTTTGTTCATGTATTTTAAAATGGTTTTGATGGCTGTTTAAAATCTGTAAATTGGGCAGAATGCAGAGCCCAATTATTAGCGTCCCCCCTCCCCGGCATACATTGACAGTTTGGTAGATGAGGATCAACCTTGTCTTGTTTGTGTAGCCACATCTGAAAAAGCTCACTCCATTGTAAACTCTTTGGAAAAGGAGTTGTTTCTGTGTTCTAATTCCATGCCTTGTCTCTAATGTCCGTTCAGAGGGGAAGAAGGGAGATGGAAGGCATAGTAAGTTACCATGTCATCCCACCCACTCCCTGATGGTCCTTATTTATACGTATTGCCGGAATAAAATTGAATCAGATGGAAGCTGTCCTTGTACTTCAAAGCTGCTACAGTGGTGCCTCGACTTACGACCTTAATTGGTTCCAGAACTCTGGTTGTAACTCGAAATGGTCATAAGTTGAAGCACAATTTCCCATAGGAATGCATTGAAATGCAATTAATCCGTTCCAGCCGAAGAAAAAAAATCACCCCAAAAAAATCACTGCAAGAACCATCAGAAATGCAAAGAAAGAAAAGCAAGCAGAATGTGCAAGACCCATCAGAAATGGGGAAGAAAACCCAAAAAGCAAGCAGACCCCCCAAAACCCATCAGCAATGGGGGGGGAAACCCCAAAAGCAAGCAAACCTCCCAAGATCCATCAGAAATGGGAAAAAAACCCAAAAGCAAACAAACCCCCCAAGACCCATCAGAAATGGGGGGAAACCCCCAAAAAGCAAACAAACCCCCCAAGACCCATTGGAAAGGGGAAGAAAAAATACCAAAAAACAAACTGCCTAAGACCCATCACAGCACAGAAACCTAACCCCCCAGCCCAAAACCACACTGCATAACCCACCCAGAACAATTTTTATAAAGCAGAAAGCAGCACCTTACCTTACCAGGTAATCTGAAGCCTCCTCCAATTGCACTCACTCTAACCGTTGGGGCAAAAGAGCTACAAACAAGCAGCTTCTTTGCCTACCAATGTTTAGCAATTTGAATTCCCCGCCTTTTTTCCCTGCCTTTTGCTGTTTGTAACTGGAAGCTCCATCTGCAAGTCGAAGCAAGATTTTGCTGTTGGAGCTGGTCGTAACTCGAAATGGTCGTAAGTCAGGATGTTTGTAAGTCGAGGCACCACTGTATTTGAATATGACTAGAGAGCACTTAAGCAAAGTAGTATGACTTTCTTCATTATATGAATTGGAGACCGTGCTCTTCCTGCCAGCATATGAGAAAGGAAGCCAGTAAAAGAAAGTGTACTAGGCAGGAAATCCTTGAATGAGATGGTCACACTGTTGGGCCTTGGGTCCAGCTTAGCACGTGTATAAAAAAAAGAAAAGAAAGAAACTTGATCTTACACATCTTTCCTTGTAACTTTACCATTTCAGACCAGTCCCATGAGGCAGTGTTTGGCGGTGATCTTGTTCAACATGGCGAAGATGGGGAATGGCAACGCTCTACTTCAACTACCTCATCTCAGAGTGAACAGGCAGAGAAAGTGTTGCAGAACCAGCACAAGAGCCTGGCCTCTGAGGACACCAAAAAGAAGAGGGCTCAGAAACCTTCTCACATGAGGAGAAATATAAGGTGAGCCTCAATTTGAGAATTTGTGGGATTTGAGAATTTGAAGGATTCAAGTAATAGTTACTGGGTTCAACACAGTGATGTTTATATATTGTCTATCCTTTCCAATTTTATCAATTCTTGTATTCAAGTAGCTTAGATGGATGCTATGTACTGCTCACTGTGTATTGTCAAGTCACAATTGCCTTATAGTGACCCTAATATACTGTATCTCATTTATCTTAAAAATATATATTTAAGGAGTGATTTTACTAGCATCATTTCTAGTGAGTTTTCATAGCTGAGCAGAGATTTGAACCCATTTTCTTGAATACTAGTCCAGCATTCTATACACTACAGCACACTGCATTCTCAGATAGATGCTACTGTGGGCTTAAAATCACACTAGTGGGTCCTGAAGAGGAAAATTGTAGTCATATTTGATCATAGTCATAAGGAAATGCTTCTATGCATTCTGGAATATAAAGAAATGCATGTAGGAAGCACGTGGAACAACTGATCATTGTTACCTTGAGTGATAGGGATTTCTGTTAGAATGTTCCTTTTGTATCCCATGTAAGTGAGCATCCTTGTTCTGAATCAAGAGCCTTTTCTCCTACTCTATTTAGAATTATTAAGAATTTAAAAATAGTGGCCAGAAACCTATTGTGGATTCACATTTTTCTCCTAAAACTGTGTTTAATTGCCACTAAACAGTGAATTGCTGTGGACATTCATTTTTGTATATCAAGTTGTGCAACTGCTGTATGAAATGTGAGTGGCAACTTGTTAATTAGTGTCAGTTCACCACCACCATTTTTGCAAATCCACAAAAGGATTCAGGTCAACATTCATGTTTCAGTTATTATTTGGAGATTCTTCCCAGTCGGTAATAATGGAATATACCAGAAAAGAGTGGGCAGAAGTACATTATACAGCAAAGACATATTGGATAATGTGTGGCTTTTTACATGTTGTTGGGGTCCAGCTCCCATCAGCTATAACTAGCATAGCCAAGAGTGAGGAATGATAGGAGTTTCAGTCCAGAAACATGTCATGCCACAAATTCCCGGGCTATACTCTGAAAAATCCCTTTGCCTTTTCTTCTAAATGACTGGCTCTGAGGTGAGTTTCTGACCCCTGGTGGTGTGAGCACCTGGTTACATATGACTCTTGCATGGCATATCTCTGTTACAGAGAACTTTAACGGTATGGAAGGCCTTTCAATACTCATTTTAGTGTAGTGTGTCAGCTGTTCATTGTCATATCAAGAGCTCTTTCTGGCCCGGTTCCTTGTTATTTTCCAAATATACCAACAGCATCGAAAGCCCTTTGTATTCCTTTTATATATTTAAAATAAGTGTTTCTCTTTTTTTGAAACTCAGAAGATATGTGGCTGTAAGCCCCTACCCTTGTACATTGGCCTGCATACATACTTTGCATGAAACCACTGTAATATATGCATGTATTTACCAGCAGGTTGTTGATGTTGGTTGTTTTCTCCTGCTTATCAGACTAAACCTTTTCAGAATCTTAATAGCATTGTGTTTTGATTCTTGTCGTACCTGCCCCGTGTTCCTAGCATAATAACAGTTCAGTACTTGCCAAACAGCTGCAAATGTGAGTTTCTCCAGAATGAGTGGCATTCTTGGCGTCTTCAGAATTTTATAGTATTCTTCATAAAAAAAATCTGTGGATGAAGTTTTGTTTCCTGTTGATGAAATTAAAGCCATCATTTTAGAGTAACATGTTATCTCTTTGTATGTTTAGAAAGCTGCTGCGGGAGGACCAGTTGGAGGCTGTAACAAAAGCAGCCCAGCAAGAGGAGTTGGAAAGAAGGAAACGGCTTGAGCAACAAAGGAAGGATTATCAAGCCAGCATCCCCATGGTACCCCTAGAGTTTCTCCCAGGTAAGCAATACGCGGAGTGCTGGACCCAAAGGAAGACTGAAAATGTAGGAAACAAATCATGATTTCAATACAGTCAGCATGCTAAACTTATTTGAAGCTTTTTCGCAGCAAAGTGAATATAATATTTATACAATAAATGTATTTATTGCATTTAATAAATAAACCCCAGTCTTTCACTATTCTGTAACATTTGCTTCATTTGCAGTGAATGAATAGCTGCATGGTGATTTAAATTAATGTCTCCCAAATTCTTATCTACCCCTCTAAGTACTACAGAATCCTGGCTGCAGTATGTTAGCTGTTACTGTTTTAAAGTTCACATGCAAATGTGCTAGCCAAGTGTTTCAGTAAACTTCTTTCATAATTAGTAGGGCTGTACTGTGTGTAAATGTGTAATATGAATTTAGGTTATGCAGGAAATGAGGGTAAACAATATAGCTGTAGACTTTTATTAACTGCTACAAATAGTAGAGGGAGATGAATTTTTCATGCAGTTGCTTTTTCCTAAGTAATCCCTTGATCAAATTTACAAGTTTTTAAGGTTGCACAACCAAAAATCTCAAAGTAATAGGTAATTCCATTTTTGAAAGGCTTGTATTGTAAACAGTGTTTCAGGCGATGTTTTCTTATTTAGACTTTTAATTCCAACATGAAATCAATGGATATCAGATTTCTTTAAGGATGTATATTTATCTATTCATCTATTTATTACATATCTTCCAAATCTGGGAATACAGGTAACTCAGAACGTGTTTGAACAAAAACTGGGGACTGAATCCAGCTCCTGATTTAACAGGAAAGAGTTAGTCCCATTGGATCAATTGTTGAATTGGGAGTCAACACCATTGACTCGACTGGTCTGCTCTTTTTTTAGAACTAGCAGTTGGGGCTCACAGTTTTGGGCTGTCTTGTTAGTTGACCCAAATTTTTTATGCTGCACTTGTGTCAGGTTGCCCAGTACTGGCGTCATTTCTTGACTTTTTCTCCACTCCAAGTGGGGAAAAGGAAGAATGTAGGAGGAGGAGCCCTGCACTTCCTGAGGCATTCCTGGTACAAAACTATAACAACCAGGCAGATACATCTATTCTTCAAAGTGTGAATGGCATGTAAATGCTCTGCATTTTCATAGCAACAAAAACAGTAATGCAGTGGAATATCAGACCAGTGGGGGGAAAACCTGAGTGAATCAAACTTGTGATATGGGTTTTGTATGTGTATGTGTGTCTCACGTACAGTATATGTAATGTTTCTGTAATAGTAGAACTTACTCATCAGCTTTGAATTTAAAATTATCTGGTGAATGGGACATATATGGGCATTATTTTAATGACCTTTGTATATCGTTCAAACTAGGAGATAAATATACATTTATTAATTCCATTCAAAATGAGATCGTGTATGGAATATGTCTGCATACTATTAACTGGTTTCAGATTTTACGTTATAAGACAATTTCTGTTTTTCTTTAGATATTTTTTTAAAATGTCCATGAAATGAAAAAAGGGATAGAGAACTTAAGCTGTGTAGGAGAGTGTAGAGGTGTTTGTGTAGTTTGTGGTATCAAATTTGGGCTAGATTAATTCAGGAGTCAAATTTTTGTAAGTAAACTTGTGGCAGGAGGAGTCTGATTTTGCTGTTGTTTTCTCTTTCGGGGGCTTTGAGCATTAATCCTTCATACCCACTTTCCTGGTTTAGAGGAGATTGCTTTAAGAACCGCTGAAGTTGCTCAGCTTCCCCCTCAAGTGTTAGCTGAAGAAATCATCTGTTTAGACAGCACCAGCAGCGGCAGTGAGGATGACTCCAAAGGAAGACTCCATAGCATAAAAGATGGTGAGAATTTTATCTGTTTTGTAGAGCAGAGTCAACGTAGATATATAATATTTCTAATATTAGGCAGTTGTGTGCAGATTATTCTTAACTTGCCTTTCTGCCTTTGTCACAAGGGTCTAAATCCAACTGCAGATCCAAAAGAATCAATGTGACTTGTATAAATAATGACTTAACATTCAGTGATTAATTCAGTAAGTCTACTGTAGTTGGAACTACCAGTTTGATTTAGGCCTTGGTATTTTCTTGAGATCATGCAACTTTTGTTATATTTTACAATGTATAGTTGAATAGTTACATATGTATGTTTGAGATTTCTGCTTTGCTGTGTAGTTAGTGTAGACTGTAGGCTCCAGATAAATCTGTAAAATTACTGCAATTAAAAGTAGTTTTTTTCTGTTTAATTCACAGTATACTAAACACGCTGTTTTTTAAAGAAGTTGTTAAATTTTATTTTTATCCATATCTCAGTATTTCTAATGCAGTTGCTTCAAGAAACTGGTGTAAATGTTCCATCATTTTCTCTCTTTTTTATGATTCTTGTTTCCTCTGCATTTAATAGAAAAATGATACATTAAAATGAAAGAATTGGCATTATGCAGTAACTGAGTTTTTCACTAAGTATGCCAATACTGTCATATGTACATTTTTTTTTAACTTTCAGCATCTTTTAGCTTGTTTCATTTGCTGTTAGAGAAAGCATGAGACCATAGGGACAGCTGAGATAAAGCATGGTGACTGTGCTAATTTCCCACATCTGATTGTCTTACAGAAGTAATAGAATTAAGTTCAGGAGAAGATGAAGCCCTCCAGATTGTAGATAGCAGTGATTCTGGCAATGAGGGGGATGAAGACGGTAGTGAAGAGAGCAGTGGCGCTCATGTGAATGATGCTTTGAATCAGTTAGATGCTTCAGGGCAAGTAATTGTCAACATCAACCATCCACCAAATGAAGAGGACATTTACTTGGCGCCTCAACTTGCACGGGCAGTAAAGCCCCACCAGGTACGGGGAATTTGGGGTTAAGACACAGAAGGGCTTCTGCAATTTTTCCTTTATGGCGTTTGCATAAAAATGTGTATCCAGAATTTCAGTTTGTCAAATTTCTGTATAGGATCTCTTTCACAGTGTTTGTTATTCTTTCTAGATTGGCGGTATCCGCTTCCTGTATGATAATCTGGTGGAGTCTCTGGAAAGATTTAAAACCAGCAGTGGGTTTGGCTGTATCTTAGCTCATAGCATGGGGCTGGGCAAGACCCTTCAGGTCATCTCTTTTTTGGATGTGCTTTTCCGGCACATTGAAGCAAAGACTGTCCTTGCCATTGTACCCGTAAGTAAACTAAGCAAAGCTGTTTACTGTTTATCTCCTTGGTGTCAAAAACAGAAAAGGGAGAGGAGGGAGAAAACACTTTCAGAATTCTAAGCAGGCACTGAACTGTTTTGGCTTACAGTTATGTCAGTTCTATGGTTCCAATCTTTGGAATTGCATAAAGGGGATGAGGATGCAATTTGAAGTGTGTAACTGATCTATCCTCTTCCACCACCACCCCTTTTTTACAGGTAAATACTCTTCAGAACTGGTTAGCAGAATTCAACATGTGGCTCCCAGCACCTGAAGCTCTTCCTCCTGACTATGATCCAAAAGAGATTCAGCCTCGCACATTCAAAGTCCGTATCTTGAATGATGAGCACAAGTAGGTGTGATTAATTCCTCACGGAGGTCCGTGTGCTGCTGCTTCCTACCAGCCTTCTGACACTAGAAGAATCTTCAAGACAGCTTAAATTAACCTCTGAATAAAGATGAAAGTTAAAATCAAGTAGAAGACGCCATTCATGAAAGTAGCACCTTAGCCTTCTACTTGTAAAAGTCTTGTAAAATATTCCTGTTCTCAGCTATGCCCTAAAAGTTGGAATAATTAACACGTATAGGGGAACAAAAGCACAAACCATATTACAGCATTCCAGAAGTGGAGTTACTAGATCATGTATGGTAGCAATGCAGGCAAATAGGAGCAGCAAGATCCAGTAGCTATGCTGTGGTGTTCGAACAACTTAACAATAAAAGTTCATTTGATTGTAAGTTTGAAGAACATAAGACTATAAGTTCGCTGCTAAGCTTGGAATTCAATCTGTTTTGTGGTTTCACCAAGTCTATCTTTGAAAAAATATAATAATGAAATAATACTGATAGTGGTTTCATTGTTAAATATTCTTTTCTGCTGAAAGTTAAAATATATTTAGATGTTCACTTGGGAGTAAACGCTGTTGTTCAAAAGTGTCCAATTAATTTTTGGAAGAGAATGGCAGGAAGTTATCTGCTAATACCTGTACATGTTCTTTTCTCATTGCATGGTGTAGGAGTTAACATGCAAGACTACAGCTCAGAGTAAGTTCAGTATAAGAAATGAAGGTTCCCATCATGTGGGTAAATAAATGATACTGAAAAGTATAACCAGATGAAACTTCTCACTGAGTATTAATTGTACTTCAGGATGTTAGAGTTGTTGTCACAGTACGGTACAGCAGTATTGAGGAACCCTTGCTTTACATAATTTTAGTGTGGCTTTGTTTGGTTGATTTCACCTGTATACAAGCATTCTCCTTGTTTTGTTTTATTAAAGGACCACAGCAGCTCGGGCCAAAGTGGTAAATGACTGGGTGACAGATGGTGGTGTGTTGCTGATGGGCTATGAGATGTACCGTCTCCTGTCACTGAAGAAATCCTTTGCCACAGGAAGAAAGAAGAAGAGCAAAAAACAGACTGGCCCTGTTATCATTGATTTAGATGAAGAAGATCGTCAGCAAGAGCTGTTGAAAGGTGAGAAGACAGTGGTCTTCTAAAAGTAATCAAGAACACTGTTACTATTCCAAAAGAGATATTTCTTAGACAACTATTTTCACTGATACAATGGTGCCTCGCAAGACGAATGCCTCATGGGACGAAAAACTCGCAAGATGACTGGTTCTGGCAATGGGGTTGATGACTCGCAAGACAAATGTTCCTATGGCCGTGCTTCACAAGATGAATGTTTTCTGTTTTTTGTTCCTGCCTCATGTTTGCTGATTTTTAAATGTTTTTCTATGATGTTTAAAAAGTTAAAGTTTTTTGATTGACATTTTTGAAATCATCTGCACAATATGTATGGCTTTAAAGAGCACTTAATAAGCCCTTTGTAAACCAAATTTGACTTCGTTCTGACGTTTTTTGCCCATAGGAACGCACTAATTAGATTTCAACGCTTTCCTATGGGAAAACGCATTTCGCAATATGAATTTTTTGCAAAACAACATTAACCGCGGAATGAATTAAATTTGTCTTGTGAGGCACCACTGTACTTGTAAATGAATAGAATTATATTCTGAATGTGGTAGATGCCCTCAGTTATGTGTCTGTACTCATACCATAGCCTTGAGAAAAGAAGACAGAGGAGAGCTATGATAGCACTTTTGAAATACTTTTCAAAGATAGTCATACAGAGGAGGGACAAGCTCTGTTCTGGATCATCCCTGAGTGCCAGACATGTAATGATGGGCTCAAGCTACAGGAAGCCAGATTTAGGCTGAATATCAGGAAAAAAAACTTATTAACTGTTAGAGCAGTATGACTGTGAAACAAATTACCTTGGGAAGTGATGAGCACTCTAATGCTGGAGGCATTCAAGATAAAATTGGAGAATCATCTGTCAGATCTGCTTTGATTTGGATTCCTGCATTGACCAGAGGTGTGTGCTCAGGGGCCTTGTAGGCCCCTTCCAACTCAGTTATTCTATGATTGGATAGGTTGTGTACTGATTGGTGCAAAAAGCTTGTATTAATTTTACTAGTAAGTACACACTCGGCATTTTAAATGAAATTTGCCTTAATGCTCCTTTAAGCTGCTAGAAAAGGACCAGTGTTATTCAGGAAAAAAGTGTTCTCTATCAGACTAGAATCAATATCTTTGAAATCTATTGATAGTTTCTAAGCTGCCAGTTTCTGCTTTTAGGGTTTTGGTTATTTTTTTCACAGTTCCTCTCTATCCTTTTGTTTAAAACAAGGACCGAAGGTAACAGCGGGTTCCCATGTGTTTCTGTTTCCTCTTCAGGAATTGAGAAGGCGTTATCCCGCCCTGGGCCTGATGTGGTCATCTGTGATGAAGGGCATCGGATAAAGAATTGCCATGCTAGCACCTCTCAGGCCTTGAAGAACATCCGATCACGTCGACGAGTGGTCCTGACTGGCTATCCTCTGCAAAACAATCTAATTGAGTACTGGTGTATGGTGGACTTTGTCCGTCCTGACTTCCTGGGTACCCGGCAGGAATTCAGTAACATGTTTGAGCGACCCATCCTAAATGGACAGTGTATAGACAGCACCCCTCAGGATGTTCGTCTCATGAGGTATCGCAGCCATGTCCTGCATAGCCTGCTGGAGGGCTTTGTACAAAGGTGAGGCTTGTTAGTTTGCCATCTTTCAAACATTTTTTGAGTCACATGGTGGATTATATGCTTTTGGTTAGGTTAATGAGTGTTTGACTTGGTGAGTGAGTAAATTGGATTTGTGTGTGTGAACATGAGATTCTGTCATGACTAACCAAAATACAATGGTGGGCTGGAAGATACAGTGGAAAGCCTGGAAATAATTACGAGAAAGGTTAAAGGGGTAGCAGTTTTTCTCTGTGCGTCTTGTCAAATTGTTGACTTCATCTTCTGAGCTGAGACATAGTTCTTTGGGCTTCCCTTTCAGGTTGTATGTAAGGGTGCAACATCTGACACATCCAAGTCCTCTCTGGCAATATGATTTCAATGTATGTGCTTTTTAATATAGCATCAATTGTGAATAGTACAGTTCTTTATAGCATTCCACATCTGGCCTTTAAAAATGTTTTACACAGACTTAATAATGTAAGCATTACAAATAAGTATTAATTATATAAGTGTGATCCCATCAGAGATTTAAAAGCTGAATCAGGAAGTTATGCTTGGTTGGTAACAAACTTGGAACTCAAGTGTTGCAGTAACCCATCAGGGAATATCACAGTTGACTTACCTGATATTGTCAGTAGTTCTGCTAATAATCATATCTAGACTAAGGTGACCTGCATTGACAAAGGTTCAGGAAGGTGCTTCTTTTTCCTGAACTCAAGATTGTGGATAGTTCCTTTCCTGACCACCTTTTGTTTGTTGCTACTGTAGGCGAGGCCATAATGTATTGAAGGTTCAGCTACCATATAAAGAGGAGCATGTCATCTTAGTGCGTTTATCAAAGATCCAGCGGGCCCTTTACACTGAGTTCATGAACCGTTTTCGTGATGCAGGCAATAGTGGTTGGTTGGGCCTGAACCCACTCAAAGCTTTCTGTGTCTGTTGCAAGGTATGTAAAAATAAATAAGGAGTGATGATCTTCGTGAAATGCATGGGAAGATCAGGAATCCCATGTCACGTTGTTTGTATCATAGCTTTGGTGGGACTTTGTTTCCCATGTATATACTGAGCAATACTGGCATTTTGTTTCTAGCTTCTGAAAAACAAAAGAATATTTTTAAAACTAAGGTCCTTTTGAGAAGTATGTCTTATTTCCTGAATTTTAATTATCTGTACAGTGGGCTCTTGGCTTGAGAACTTAATCTGTATTGGAAGGCAGTTCTCAAGTCAAAAAGTCTGTAAGTCAAGTCTCCATTGACCTACAGTGCATTGAAAGCCGATTAATCCCGTAACAGGCCGTTTTTGTTCCATTTTGGTTTTTTTCTGGTCTGTAAGTCAAATCTCAGTCTGCAAGTCAAACCTAAATTTTGCGGCCAGAGAAGTCTGTAACTCAAAAAGTCTGTAAGTCAAGCTGTCTGTAAGTCAAGGGTCCACTGTATATATAACACTTTGGCTTGTAATTCGCTTAGTGTGTTTTTATTATAATAGTTTGACTGCCTGACCAAGAGATACTAGTACATGGGAAAACATTACAGATATGCTTTGATTACTTTTACATCTTAAACAAATCTGCATTTTAAAATATCAATATACATATTACAAATTAAGTTATATTAATTTGAGGTTTTTTACTCTGGTATTCAAACAAAGCATTTTTGTGCTAGAGTTCACTTAATTTGTTAATTTCCAAGATTCTGCAAGATATTTTTGTTTTAACTGCATATGGCTACCCCTTTGGAAGTTGATGCAGTGACTGCTACCAGCATTTAGGCCTCTTGGGCAGAGAGCAACTTCAGACCTGTAGTTTTTTTTAAGTTCCCAATTTCAACAGAGAAAGCCATGTGGAATTCATTTTTAAGAAATAAATAAAGTATCTGAGAATAAATAATTGCAAAGTAACCTACCATCCCCTCTCAGATCTGGAATCATCCCGATGTGCTATATGAAGCACTGCAAAAAGAAAATTTGGCAAACGAGCAGGACCTCGATGTGGACGATCTCGGCACAGCTGGGACTAATTCACGCTGTCAGTCACAGGGAATGAAAGCAAAAGCTGAGAGCAATGTTTTGACATCGGCAGTAGGAGAGGCAACCAACAGCAAGTTCATTCAGGGCATTGGCTTCAATCCCTTCCAGGAGCGAGCCAATCAGGTTGTAACTTATGAATGGGTGAGTACCAGATCGGGACTTGGCAAATGTGGATTCTTGCCTTCTTCCCCCCTGAACGTAAAGGATTGCTTAAGCTGAAGCAGTCTCTTGCAGGGTATTTGTGAGCCATTAGGTCTGTGGGTGGTCCCCTGGGGTGTTCTTCCTCGCGGATCAGTTTTTCCCTTTCCCTGACATCCCTGCAGCAGATCTGAGGTGTGCATAGATGGGGAGGAAGGGAAGGGAAACATGTTGCCCAAGCAGAGGCCTGTTGGTGAATGAATTTGAAAATTCATAGAGCAGGCAGCCACTTAGGTGCTCAGTTCACATAATTGCAATAAAACAAGAACTTAAGCTAGATGTCACACTTGGTAAGGCAGGTGCTTGTTCCCACGTAATGTACTTCTAAATAAAGAAATTGTCACATTGGAAATAGCTCTGCGTAGCAGGGGTATAATTCTTAGCTATGGCTGCTTTTTTTTCTGTGCCGTTAAGAGCTTTTTGACTTGCTGCCCTGTTTGTTTGTTGTGGCTTCAATAGCACATGGCGAGCTTTTGTGCTATAGCTGCTCTTTAAGCACTTCATACAATCATTTGTATAGTCTGGAGAGTCCTTTCTTTGTGCTTTCTGTAAAGTATGGCTAACATTTGAATGCATCATGTACAGCATGGTCTGACTGAGATGAGCATTTAGGGCAGGGACTCTGTGGGGCCCCCCCAGATGTTGCTGGATGGCATTTCCCATCATACAATACCAGATTATAGAGAAGCGGAGTCCCTTGACATCTAGAGGGCCATGCATGCCCCACCGCTGGTATAAGAAATTAGTTAGGAGTAGTGGTTCCCAGTGTGGTATAGTGGACAGAGTGATGGACTAGGACTCTGGAGAACAGGGTTCAAATCCCTGCTTGGCCATGGAAACTGACTGGGGGAGTGGAACTGGTAAAACCAATCCCTTACATATCTTTCATATCTAATAGGGCTGAAAACCCCTATTACGGTAGTTATAAGTTGTTTTCAACTTGACAGCATGTAACAACAACAGTACTCCCCCATTCCCTGGCTGTTGCAGAGAATGATCTAGTTAAGAATAAAATGTGAGCTATTTTATAAAGCTCTGCAAGGAAAATTATTGTTTTTCTTTCTGAGTTACTGTAGTCGAATGTGTAGGACTTGTAATCCCCATGTGAAAAACAGGATGGCCAGAAGGTACCATTCCTTCAAGCAGTAGATTATGACATTTGGGAGCCATTTGATTCCCCCCCCCATTTTAGAATTATTTTATGTGAAAGACTTATTTCTGAATGAAAGGTGTCCAGTAGAATTGTTTAATAGTATAAAGAGAAGGAAGGAGATGCTGTGGATTTTCTGTGCAATGAATTGGTGATATGGGGCATAGGGAAAAGCACTTCCAAAATGGTACTTAGTGTCCTGTTTTGCTCACAGGCTAAAGACATCCTGTGCGATTACCAGACAGGAGTCTTGCAAAATTCACCTAAGATGGTATTGCTGTTTCATCTTGTGGAAGAAAGTGTGAAACTTGGAGACAAAATATTGGTCTTCAGGTAAGAGGCAATTGCACTTGTCTGATATAATTGCACTATATTGGCCCTACAGGGAAACATTTGAAAATAACTATTATACAATGAATAAATTAATGGCATTGAATCAAATTAAATTATTAATAAAAATGCTTCTTTGGGTACTTTGCAATCCCTTTTCCATTGTTGATTTTCTAATGAATGTCTCGTTGGCATTCATGATACTTTCAGGACTGCTTAGAAAGTGCAGCAGATGGAGAATGAAGTAACTAAGCACCTTATAGAGTATTGCTAAGCAGTGTTACTCCTGTCCTTAAAAGGCTGGTGCACTGGTTGACACTTAGTTTTGAGGCACTGTTCAGTGCTGTGGTTTTCACATTTTTTGAACATCTTGTATAATACAGTTGTACTGTTCAGTGCTGTGGTTTTCACATTTTTTTGAACATCTTGTATAATACAGTGGTACCTCGCTTAACGACGATAATCCGTTCCAGGAAAATCGCTGTTAAGCGAAAACATCGTAAAGCGAAATTAAAAACCCCAATGAAACGCATTGAAAATCGTTCAGTGTGTTCCAGTGGGGTAAAAACTCACCGTCCAGCGGCCATTTTCTCTGCCTGTATAGCGAGGAATCTGTCCCTAAGCACAGCGAGGAACCATTTTAAGCACCCGGTGACCATTTTGAAAACCCGACGATCAGCTGTTTTTGATCGTCGTAAAGCAAAAATCTGTTCCCGAAGTAGGGAACCGATCATCGCTAAGCGAAATTCCCCCATTTAGATCATCATTTTGCAATCACAATTGCGATCACAAAAAGATTGTCATAAAGCGGATTCGTCGTAATGCGGGGCAATTGTAAAGCGGGGCACGACTGTACAAAAATGAAAAAAAAACCTCTTTTCTGTTTTAGGCCTTTTGTTAAAATATGACAGACTCATCTCTAGTTTTAACCCCAACAAGTGGGGTGAAAATGTAAAAAGGAAATATTTAAACTAAATCTTCCTCTGTGCTATATGGCTAGATTGTTTATCATTCTGTGCTCAATAACATGAAAGTTGTTTCCTGTTTCTGTCATAGCTTTAAATATGTGATAAATGTGACCACACATAAATGCATATATTCAGTTTGAAGCAATTGAATGATACTCAGGAGCCATTCTGGTTCCTACCTGTGCATCATGCCTATGCCAAAGTGAGATATTTATGCGTAGGAACCAGTTTACCCTGGTTCTTAGACTATGAGTAGGATCTAGACTTTGCATGATTCTTTGACCTTGACATGATTGTTTTATTATGAGTAAATGTTGGTTCTTCACATTATACTGTGAGTTCTGTTCTTTTGTTTATTCATCTATGCATTGCACTTGTCTTTCTCAGCCAAAGCCTCTCCACACTGTCTGTCATTGAGGATTTCTTGGCAAAGGGACCAGTGCCTTCTCCCCCAGGCTCAGATGCGCAAGGAAGCCATAACTGGGTCCGAAATGTACACTATTATCGTAAGTATAACATGTGCATGCATCACTTCGGGTACTGGATTCTTTCCTGCTAGGCTGATTTTCCTGAAATGTTGCAGTTTTTGCAGTTTTTCTGTTTGAATTTCCCATGATGTGGTGCTTTTTTTTCATTTTCAAACTGAGGACTTTCAGCTTTTTGTTTGTTTTGTTTCGTTTTAGCCAGAAGTTGCTCATATTTTTGATGCTTAGGTATCTTTATGCTAGTAGAATAGTTACATGAATGCTAAAAACCAAAGATGAAAATTTACAGGATTGTTTTATTTTGATGAATGTTGTGAATAACATTTTTACAAGTTTTATGCATTTCCTGTTGGATAGGATTGGATGGCAGTACTTCAGCCTCAGAAAGAGAGCGACTCATTAATCAGTTTAATGACCCCAACAACACTTCTGTTTCCCTCTTCCTTCTTTCCACACGGTAAGGCAACTGCTTTCAGAAATAAAAGGAGAAAATGAGGATGAAATAGAATATGGGATAGATACAATGCTTAAGGAGATTCTCATTTCAGGAATTGTTGACATTGTTTCAAAACCTTAGTTTTTTTTTTCTGGGCTAACCATTTATATACATTAGCTTCAGAAGATGCTGAACTAAACCCAGTGGTTAATTTTTACTAGAATAGACTCATGGAATCAATAGGATTTATGGAAATGTTGACTAGTCACTAAACTATTTCATTCATTCAATAAGTTTACTGTAGGTTGGGCTAATAAATTTATTTATTTATTTATTTTATTTTATTTTATTTTATTTTATTTTATTTCTATGCCGCCTATCTGGTCATACTAGACCACTCTAGGCGGCTTACAATCGGAGCAACAATAAAATTATTAAAAACATTACAAACAGACAAAAATAGAAATCAAAGAATATAAAAGAAAAATCGTCAGGGATTATCTGTTGGGAAAGCCTGCCTATACATCAGTGTTTTCATTTGTTTCTTAGCCTACTTTCTTATTGTTTCTTAGCCTACTACTTATTGTTTCTTAGCCTACTAAGAATTGTTTCTTAGCCTACTTTCAATATAAAATTAATTTGTACTAAGAGTTAAGCAGGAACAGCAGTCTTCAAACAGTATCTTATTCAGGAGAGCAAGAGAAGAGCCAGCATACAAAGTCTTGGCAAACTTGTAAAAATAATTGTTCCATTTAAAAAAAATTTCTTTTTTAGTGCTGGCTGTTTGGGCGTGAATCTAATTGGTGCAAATAGAGTGGTAGTATTTGATGCTTCTTGGAATCCATGCCATGACGCGCAGGCTGTATGTCGGGTGTACCGTTACGGGCAGAAGAAGCCTTGCCACATCTATCGATTGGTTTCTGATTTCACCCTGGAAAAGAAAATCTATGACCGCCAGATTTCTAAGCAAGGGATGTCAGGTGGGCCAAATCCTCTCATACCTCCACAGATTACACCTGGCCTCTGAACCTGATTCTTTGTTGCTTTCTAACCGTATTTTTCGCTCCATAAGACGCACCTTTCCATAAGACGCACCGATTTTTTAGGAGAAGAAAACAGGAAAATATAATCTGCTTTCTTCGCTCCATAAGATGCACAGATTTTCCACACCCCTGTTTTGTGGGAAAAAAGTGAGTCTTATGGTGCAAAAAATACAGTAGTTAAGGAACTGCATATGTAGCAGCAGTTCTTCCTCTTTTTTGATCACTGTATGTTTTCTCTAGATCGCGTGGTGGATGACTTGAATCCAGTGTTGAACTTTACTCGGAGGGAGGTAGAGAACTTGCTGCACTTTGTGGAAGAGGAACCCGAACCTGCCCAACTTTCTTTCAACCCCAGCAAAATTAAAGAATCCGTTTTACAGCTGGCCTGTCTCAGATACCCTCACCTCATCACCAAGGTAAGGATGAAGGCAAAAACACCACATACCTCTTATTTTGGAAGTCGACTATAAAATGCACATTATATGATGTCTGGAGAATTAGTGTGATCAGTGATGAGTGTGTGGTACCTCTACAGCATTGTTAGTACTCCAGACTGTAAAATATAGTTTAAGATAATTCAGAACACCCTAATTCCTGCATTCTGAAACGATGCCTCTGATGACAGATGCAGGTTATGCAGAGAGTCTGAAGAAAATCAAAGACCTTGGTAACATCAAAGAGAAGTTCAGAATTACTTGTAGCAAGTTCTGTACTGATAATATAAGTGTGTCAGCAAATATAGTGCTGTGGCAGTGCTTTCTGCGTTTGATCTGCTTTATGGTAAAGGTAAAGGTTCCCCTTGATAATTTTTGTCCAGTCGTGTTCGACTCTAGGGGGTGGTGCTCATCCCCGTTTCCAAGCCATAGAGCCAGCGTTTTGTCCAAAGACAATCTTCTGTGGTCAACATGGCCAGTGCGACTTAGACATGGAACGCTGTTACCTTCCCACCGAGGTGGTCCCTATTTATCTACTCACATTTTTACATGCTTTCGAACTGCTAGGTTGGCAGGAGCTGGGACAAGCGACGGGCGCTCACTCTGTCACATGGATTCGATCTTACGACGGCTTGGTCTTCTGACCCTGCAGCACAGGCTTCTGCGGTTTAGCCCGCAGCGCCACCACGTCCCTTCTTGATCTGCTTTACAGAGCCATTAATTTTTATATTTGGATTGTTTATGCTTTATTTTTAGCAACTTGGGAGTAATATGTGTTTTGCGTGTCGTCTGAAGAGTGACGGTAACAGTTGTTGTGAAATTGTGCTGCTGTGGCAAAGATACAAAAACACAGTCCTGGTCTTTTAGAGTCCTTTTATTTCCCTATTTTTACTGTGTAGATTAAAAATGTATGTTGTCTTTCAGGGTCTTTGACTGTCTGGTTGCCAATAACCATGAAGGTCAAAATTAAAGATGAGAACACTACTCCCTAATTCCTTGTTCTTATGCTTTAGGTTGCGTGGATGTGAAATATCTCGTTGTGGAATGTTAGCCATTCTAGTGATATTGAGAGCAAGCCAGAGCACTTTCCCCCTCCATCTCCAAGGCTCAGTCCTTTGCCTGCAAATGTCCCTTGTTTCCTCTTCCTTTGAAAAACAAAGCAAATGTTCAGAGAGCTGTCATGAAAGGACTGGTTGGTTGTTAAGCAGGATGCAAGCAAGCCATTGAGTGATTCAGATTACTACAGGATTGTATTCTAGTTTTGCAAAATTTGAACCATTCCCCAGGATTGTGCAAAAATGGGTAATTTTGTACAAACAAGGCCATTTTGTACAAAATAGTATTCTCAACAACGTGAGGGCCAGGAAATTCCTAACCATCCTTACTGTCAAGAAGAAGAATGTTCTGTCTCCTAGTCCTCATATTTTAAATAACATAAGCAGAGATTTAAATCCATCATCAGCTTCTCTTGATTGTGTGTGTGCTGCTGGTTTGCAGGTTTCCTGTTTGCCAGAGGCAGAGGGGATACAAGAGGCCCTCAGGGCAGCTTAAATGCCAGCTACACAAAGTAGTGTTTAAGACCTCCCCAAAGCTTCATGTGAGCAAGGATGACTTACTGCTGACTTTTTGTAGGTTGATTGCTAAATAAATATGCTTTAAATGATACCTTCCTGTGCTCTGCCTACAGGAGCCTTTCCAGCATGAGTCACTGCTGATTGATCGTAAAGAGCACAAGCTCACCAAGGCAGAGAAGAAAGCAGCCAAGAAAAGCTATGAGGAAGAGAAACGTGCATCCGTCCCTTATACCCGTCCATCCTACGCTCAGTATTACCCCGCCACTGATCAGAACCTAACAAATATACCTGCCTTCAGTCAGAGGAACTGGTAGGTCCTTTGCTGCTTTCTTGGGTGCTGAGGAGGAGTGGCACCTTTTGATGCCTCTTTCCTCTTCTCCGCAACACCTCCCTGGTTCTTAGAAAATGGGACAAACAGATGTGAATATTTGCGCTTCCTGGCCATGGAAACTCATTGGGGGTTGTAGGGGTGGAACTGAGAAAACCATTCCTTCAAGATCTCATTTATCCTGAAAATCCTGTTAGATTGTAAGTTGAACGTGGCTTGACAGCACATAACACACGCACAGATCTGTTGGTGATTGTCTATAATAAGAGGCCCTGGCATCACAAATCTCTATCTGGTGTTTCAGTTATAAACCTTCAAGTAACTACAATGTTTCCCCGAAAACAAGACAGGGTCTTATATTAACTTTTGCTCCAAAAATGTGGGTCTCATATTAACTTTTGCTCCAAAAATGTATCAGGGCTTATTTTCAAGTGATGTTTTATTTTTTTCATGTTCAGCAATCTACGTTATTCAAATGCAGTCACTTCTTCTTTTTTTATTTTTTTCATGTTCAGCAATCTACGGTTATTCAAATGTCACTTCTTCTTCTTCTGGTTGCTGCATGATGGTGGAGGGCAGGCGTTAACTGGGGCTTATTTTTGGGGTAGGGCTTATATTACGAGCATCCTGAAAAATCATACTAGGGCTTATTTTCAGGTTAGGTCTTATTTCAGGGAAACAGGGTATGTAATGTGGAATTACCTTCCCTACTTTATAGTGCCCCACTGTTTTTCTGGTAGAATGACAGAGCTAGGATGTGGTATTTTAAGCAGAGACTCAACATCCATATGTCAGGGGTGCTATAGCTGCATCTTGCATTGAGCAAAGGGCAAGGCCAAGCGACCTCAAAAGTCATTTCCACTGATTATACGTTGCATGGAATGGGATGGGCCATGAAGCAGGTGTTCTCCTACTGTGGTAGAAAGATGACAGGCCCCTTCCAATCCTGTCTCTCTGACCAAGTGTGGGTTCTTTGCTTTCTGTTCACAGGCGTCCCAGCCTCAAAGGTGAGGACAGGCCAGTGGCAAGTGTACGTCCAGTTCAGTCCACCCCTATTCCTATGATGCCTCGCCATGTCCCTATGGGCAGTATGGGATCATCTTCGGTTTCCAATCCTGCTATCAACTTCCCCATCAATTATCTACAACGAGCTGGTGTTCTCGTGCAAAAGATTGTCACCACAACAGGTCAGTTGCTTTGTGTGGATAATGGAAAAGGCAGGAAAGTCCATTCTTAAGTTTCTTAGGAAAAAGAAGCTGCACTGGAAAAGTAGTGGATGTGAAAGTGAAAATTACTGTCAGCCCTTTAGACTTTTCTGAAATCAAGCTTTTGTTCAAGTTACCATATAGGACTGTGCTCTTTATGTTTTGAGGCACTGGTACCCAAGCTTTATGTTGTAGGCATATTAAAGGTGGGTGGCAGTGCCCCAAAACATGAAGAGTGCTGTCCTATGTGGTAAGTTTCAGTATTCAGTTCTTTCCTTTGTTCACCAGTTTAACTCAAGAATATGAATTGGGAGCTAGGATGTGGTATCAGGGAATTAAAGAATATGCACAGGGAATTAAACACAGCATACACAGCAGAGTGTAAGTTACAGGCTGTGTTCTTGTGATCATCTTGCTGTCACGACTCTTGAGTGTTTTCCACATTGTTCATGTTTTTCCATCCACTATGTTTGCATTGTAGGGAGGAGGAACCATGAAGGTGTCAAATTCCTGTGTGCCAGTTGGCAACCTGAGTAATCTTAGCCTGCTTTGCTATACTACCTTGTAAATATACCTGGGCATGGATCACTATTAACCATTTCCATATTGTATACAATTACTGCTACTTTCTTTCAGGCACAGAGGGCAACATTTCTGTGCATATTAATGAAACTGCAGGATGTGTTCATGGTTAGCCAATTTTTGTGGGGTGAGGGGAAAGCAAAGCAGCCTGCATGGTGTGGCAACTGGCTCATACATGCATTAAATTCTGCTGAAGTTACCCATTTTAAAATTGGGTTTATTTTCAGTTGAGTTAGTGGGAAATTGTGTTTAGCATATGCACATTAACAAAATATTTTGTAAATGCTTGTGTGCTGATTCTGTTAGGATGTTTCAGAATAAGCATTTGCATGCTTAAAACTTTCTGCTTCCTATGTCATTCTCTCCTTGTACTGATTATATATTCTAACTCTTCCTTCCTGAATATATTATAACTGGAAACAGAGTTAGATTTCAACATGCAGAGATATCTGTCTGTCCTTGGGAAATTTGCATCATGACTTATTTCTCCACAGAGTTAGGGCAACATTAACATGAATAGGAAAGCAAAGGACAAGGAAATGTCTTAATAGAACTGTTAACACAAAAGAAATAGGAAGAGGGATCTGCCATGGAAGAGGTAGTAGAGAGGTATTTGGAAGAAGGGGAGAGGAACTCTGTCTCAGCAGTCAGATACAAGATGAGAAGCACAGACTCTATTTGTGAAGGAAGGAAGCGCTATTAAGAGTCATGGTGGTTCATCTGTTCTGTCCTCAGACATCTCCATTTCAAATATTCCCTTGAGAAACAGCAGCAAAACTTCAGGTGTTAATGGGGGTAATAATCCAGGGAATGACAACAGTGGAGACAGGAAAGTTGGACCTGATTTTGCAGTGGAGGCCGTTCCTGAAGGGAAAACTCAGAATTAGATATGGGAGGTTTGTCTTTGTTGATGAAGATGAATCCCACTGGTACAGGTGGCCAGCCCAGTTAACACCTGTCCCCAGAACCTGCCGGACCACTTGGTGTGGCGTGCACAGCTGGCATTTTCAACAGCATTCCAATTGCAGCAGTAGCCCAGCTGGCACCGTCCCACCTCCCTGCTCGGTCAGCCACTCAGCGGCTGAGTAGGGAGATTTGTCATCCCACCATCTTGCCAGAGTGGCTGGCCAAGCAGGGAGGTGGGGTTGTGCCAGCTGAGCTACCAGTGCAGTTGGCATGCTGTCGATTATGCTGGCTGTGCGCTGTTCAGTAAGTGGTCCAGCGGGTTCTGGTGACAGGTGCTAATTGTGCCAGCCACCTGCATCAGCAGGATTCGTCTTCATCTATGCAGAATCTTTTGTGGGTAGAGGAAAGGCATCAAAGAGAGCATCAAAGGATTAAAAAGATGTATATGTCCCTCTGAAGTGCATAGACACATTGAGATGCCTCACTCTCACCTGGTTTCCAGACAAAGTGAGTGCAATTCCAGTGCAGAAGGTTGCTTTTCTTTGCTGTTGTAAAAGAAGGAAGATGTGCAAAGCTCATTGAAGAGAGTGGGGGAGTAAAAGAATATTTTCTTAACAGTGAAAAAAAATCTTCTTACAATTGGAAAAGGACTTGAAATATTCACCAGTCAGTGCAAAAGCTTCGAAGCTGAACTTTGTTGTTACTGAATTTCTTGTTTACCGCATGATACCCTTGTCAGTAGTTCAACAGGAAGCGTTCATTAGCTTGGATAGAAAACTTTGCCCACATTGGGATGTTCCGAGTTGCCACTGCATTTGCTACATTGCCGTTCCAGTCTTTGCTAATGACATTCAAAGGTAACTGAATGCTAGTTTGAAAATAGCATTAGGAGGAACTGTACATTTGATGATTTGATCACTATTTGGTACCCTATTAGAACCCTAACGCCCCCATATATCTCTGCATTTGCATTCATGTGCTTAAGCCAAGATGTTTGCCAAAACAAAATCTGCTTCCTCCTGCGTTAGCACAAGATACTGATGTTAGAAGAAGAGTTTTCAGCTGAAGATTGAGAAAGTGATAATGGTGATGTACAGAGTACAAATGTTCCAGTTATAAATGCTGATTAAATGAGTTGTAATATGGCTGGTTGTATATGTGGGCTTCTGTGGTAAGATGAGCATGGCTTCCTTCTAGCCAAATATACTCTGTTGTGTTCAAATACCTCAGTGGTTTACATTCCTTATGTAACATTTCTGAGCCATGAAATCTTCTCAGTGTCATTGAAACATTGAAACCTGTGAATCATCAGGTCTGTGGCTGCAAACATAGAGCAGAGTTATTTTTGAAACATCGTCAATGTTGCAAGAATCCTGTTTGATTAAATGTGTGTTAAGATAATTACAATTTTATTATGATTTATAGTTTCTACATTATATTGACTGACCATCCCTGACCATATGCACTCTTCATTTAATAATAAAAAATAAATAAATCAGATTGCCATTCCTTGCTGGTATAAAGAGTAAACAGGAGCCTGGGGGAGAAAAGAAACAGTCCAGCTTAGTTGTGTCAGCCTGCCCTTGATGATCTCCATTCTTCAACTAAGAATTCCATCTGTAGAGTACAAAAGGGGAAAGAATAATAAAGCAGTTACAGTATGAAAAAGCCCTTACAGTAATAATTAATGTAAGGATTGTTAACATGAGATCTCTTTTTGAATAATCCACTGTAAAATTATCTTAATTCATTTCACCGTTCATGTCAGATGAGCTGCTGTTTCATTATGTCAGCATGATAATAAGTGAGAAAATATCTGAAATTTGGCACACTTATGAATGTTCAGGGCATGTCTATTGTTACTGCATTGACATATGTTTCTTCAAATATAGTTCCGACCAGGAGATCTTATTCCTTACTAGTACTTTTAACATTGCTGTACTTCCTTCAGAAACTGGGATTATTGTCCAAATTCAGAGAACATAAACCTGTACAAAAGCCATTAAAGAAGACAGTAAGTAATACAAGATGGTATTTTGAAGATCTCAACAGTATCAAGACCAACAAAAGAGAATTCTTTAAGTATATCAGAATAAGGGAGCCAGCTATGCGGGCAGTTGAATTGTTCAATGACATTGAGATTAAAAGCGTTTTGAAGGAGGATAAGAAGATTGCAGAGAACCTGATGGACAGCTCAGTGGTTTAGGAAACAGAAAAGGTACTCTCCTCTATCAGAACTGCTGGATATCTCAGTGGTTTAAGTATCTGGTTGCTGAGCCAGAGGTTGGGAGTTCAGTTCCCCCCCTGGGTCTCCTGCAAGTGGAGCCAGCCAGTGTGGCCTTGGGAAAGCTACACCGTTCCCAGGGTGCCTCCAGAAGAAGGGAATGGTGAGCCACTTCTGAGTATTCTCTGTCTGGAAAACCATGAAAAAGATAGTCATATGTCAGAATTGACTTGACAGCACATGATGATGATCTGTGGAACACACAGGCTGTTTCCTATTTCAGGAGGGGAAAATGAAAAGCTGAGGCAAATGGTGGTTTATAAAAGAGACAAAATAATTCTAAACCTTTTTGAAAATCACAAAATAAAATAAATAAAGTTTAAAAATGATATACATGATATGCACTGAAGAGCTATTTTAAAACTCACTTGTGGAATTGCTCATCTTCTAACTTATGTAAAATGTCCCTAACATTCACCTCTCTGTCGGGGGACTGGAGAGTGGCTAGTACAGAGCTAGTTTGTGAAAATGAGAGCCAGTGGGAACCAGGAAACAGCAGCTACCAAAGGAGCAAAGTGTCAAGGATAGAGAAGAGCATGCCATTCTCAAGAGGAATCAGCATCACACCCACGAAGTCTGTCTCCCTACCTGTTTAGAGTTCTTTACAGAAGTCGCTTCCAAAAGGCTGTTGACAGAAGTCCCTCACCAAAGATTCCTGAGCAGACATACTCCTCTTATGGATGGAAAACTGATTAAAGAACAGGAAACAGAGAGACAAAATAAATGGCCTTGCAATGGGAAAAAATGGACAGATTTTGAGAGATCACTGCTGGGACTGATGCTTTTTAATGTTAAAAAGGCACCATCATTAACAGCCCTGCTCAGGTCTTGCAAACTGAAGGCCACGCCTTTCTTCATTGAGGCACCCCATTTCATGTTAAATCTTCCTCTTTCATGCAGCTTCACTTTCCGTAGCATGATGTCACTTCTAGTGAGTTTTTGTCTTATCATCAAAGAGACAGTGAGATACACCCTTATCTTTACCAGCTGGTAGCTATTCTCTTTCTCCATATTCTGCCTTAACAGGAAGCCTTTTCTCAAAAGTATAGGTTACACATAAGAACACTCAAATGTAGTGATAACACCCATTTCTTCTAGCATAATCCCTGATTTTCCATGACTCACAAAGACTTTATTATAATCTATAATGCATGGATTGATTTTCTTCTGAAACTCTTTGGTATCCTAGTGGCCAGGATATATTAGCAATGTGCTATCTAGTGCCTGCTGCCTGTGTGGGAATTGGATCTAGCTCTATGTAGCCATTCTGAAGGAGGCAACGGTATGAGAGAGACTATCAAAAACTGGGCATGGGGTGGGGAGGACAAACAACCACTTGACATATTTAATGGAACAGCTTCTCAATGAAAGTCTCAGAGAGAGGGAGAGATTGCCTCCTTATGCAAAATACTTGTTTAATTGCAGACACATTATCCCAACAACAATCTAGATACTTGTCTATGCTCAACAGTAAATTGGTGAGGGAGACTGACGGAGAGCATCCAAAAATTTGTATCTGCTCCACACCCAAAGATTTGCAGCTCTTTACTCCAGAGGGTATGGTCATCCCACCAACAGTTAATAGATTCCAGAAAGACAGAACAAGCATGTGTATCATGTATGGATGTTTCTAACTGCATATGACCTACAATACAATTTTAAAAAAACACTACACAGATATGGTATCATATACAAAACTCAATATGCATTTAACAGTGGTGATATCTGTGCAAACTGTGCAGTTTTTAAAGGAGCCCTTTTTCTGTAGTATTTTTGTCCCTGCTCTCTGAGCAGGCTGTCATGGAATCTAGGGGCAAGGCAGAGAAATTTGCCCATAAATAAATCCATGGCAGAATTCTCCGGTGTTCTTTCTCCAGTAGCTGTACAGAAAGGAGAATTTTTGAAGATGCTGTTTGTCAGGCAGAAGTGAGGAAAGACATGTGTAGTGCTAATTATATTTTTTGTGCAGCTTTTCAGAAGTCTAAGGAACTTGTTCTTTTAAGAAGCAAACAAAAAACCCTAGAAAATGTGGGTGGCATTGCTGTAGCTCACATGATGTCCAAGTAAGACCACATTGTGGGTTCTGACCCACAGATATATGCTATGAGTATACCTTCCCAGCAATTTCCCCTCTTGTAAATAAAAAGACTTTATTTTTTAACCAGCCATTAAATACTGGCTCCACATTTAGTAGGATATACTGGAGAGAGCAGCTTGGAAATATTTGTTTTGTCCTTTTTGAATTGACTACTTTTCTGCAGCTGTAACATAGATGCTGTTAAAGAGGAAACTGCGTCTGACAGGCACCTAAAGTTGTACTGTTCTGAAGGGCTTTTAGTCTCTAAGATTTGTTTTTCAAGCTAGCCTTTAGAGAATGTTTTGGATCTGCTTCTAAAGCATGTTGTTACCTGGTGTGTTTTTTAAAAAAATAATTGATCTTTTTTTCAGGTAATTTTAAGCTATTGTATATGGCGTTGGGAGCTATGCAGCTACAAAAAAGTGCAAACAGTTGCTTTAACAAATACATTTTTTTTCATTACAGACATAGTGATTCCAGGTACAAATACTTCCACTGATGTTCAGGCAAGAATCAGTGCTGGAGAGAGCATCCACATTATCCGTGGGACTAAAGGTAAATAAGAAAGCCAGTACGTTTTCTTCATTTTCTTTTTAATATTCAAGTTTGGGAAAAGAAATGAAAGCTGTAATTTATAAAGATAGACAAAAGAAGGAAACAAATTATCATGACAGATTTTTTTTAATCTGAACTGCTTATTCCCCATTATTTTATAATAAATGGCTTTCCTCCATGATTCAAAAATTGCTGTCTGGGAAATTTCCATAAGGTCAAGGGATTAATGCTGGACATGAAAATAGGTCGACTTGTTTTTCTTTAAGTTAAAACAGTTAAAATTTTCCTCAGTTGAAACTGGACAGGCCAACACGTTTTGAGGCAATTTAGTTTCACAAATGATAGTTTTCCTGAGGTGCATTGGTTGACCTTATCTAGCCTATCTAATGTACCATTCCATAATAATTATTCATCTTCTCTCTGCTCCTTTACTTTGTACATTGCATTAAAGGCTCTGTGTGTGGGTAACTAGGCAGTAGCCAATATAGATGTAGTTGCACATATTCAGATTTCTTCTTTTGTATTCCTGTATTGGACAGATATTTTCACCATTTGGAGATGGCTTAACTATTGTTATCTTCCACCCATCTTTCCTCAGGGACATATATCCGGACCAGTGATGGACGGATTTTTGCTATTCGGACCACTGGCAAGCCAAAGGCCAGTCATGATCACCGTATGGTCGCCTCAGGTGAGGTCTTGTTGCTTTCAAAACTGCTTCCCCCGGGGGGAGGGGGGCTGGCAATGTAATTTTTTTTTCCACCAAAAAGAAAGAGCAGTAATTCTTTTCTGAATAGAATGTGTGGCGTTCTTTTGGGGAGAAGGAACTTTTTTTTATGTTTTTCCTAAACCAGAAGTGAAATTGTGGTCATTTCTGATATTGAGAAAAGGATAAATAACCACAATTTGAGAGGATGTGCCTTGCAGTGGATCTCCCACAGGGCTTGTGCACCACAGTGTAAACAATGTGCAGGCCAGAAGCTGTCAAACAGGACTGTTGTCTGCCAGCTCCAGCTTCTGCCAGCCGTCCTTCAGGGATGATCAGAACCACTGGCGCCCATGGTATCCTAGCACATCTCCGTAAGGCCTCGCAGAACTGACCATGCAATCCAAGTGCCACAGAACAACTGACAGGGTTGCCTTCACCTTGTTTTGGATGGGGAGGGGGGAGATTGAAAAAGAAACTTTCAGTATGTTTAGTATCCTTTACTCTAGACCTTGTGCTGTTCACAGTCATTCAGTGCCACAGTTACCCTTGCGAGCACAGGTAGAATAGGTAGCATCAAAAGGAACTGGCACTCTCTTGTGCCAGGCTCAGACCATTGGGCCTCTTAACCAGTAGTGTTAACTCTTCTCAGCAGCAGCTCTCCAGAGTTTCAGGCAGGAACCTTTGCTAGGCTTGTCTGGAGATGTGGAGGATTCCTCCTGGGGCCTTTTGTCTGCCACTAAGCTGCCACCGTTTTCTGCTACCATGGAGTCGCCTCGAATGCTTTCTGCGTCCTAACAACTGTTAATCTGTCTTGTTTGCTGCTGACAGGATCCCAAGGTTCGTCTCTGGAATCCACAAGCAATGGCAGACACAATGCCACTTCGCCCAAGCTTTCCAGCACAGAGGAGCTCACCCGGCCTATCTCTCCCGACAGCCCAGAAATCATCAGCGAACTGCAACAGTATGCAGAAGCCGCGGCTGCCCGCGAGTCCAGGCACAACTCTCCCAACACCAACACAGCACTTGGCCACCCCTCTCGGAAAGACAACGCCGCCCCCTCTGCCGTTCCTGGAACTGAGCAGCGGGCGGCAGGGACCCATGGGCTGGCCTCCACTTCCTCCTCCTCTTCCTCCTCCTCTTCTTCAACCCTGCCAGCCACCAGCCAGCACCTTGACAGCCACTCAGTGCTGGACTTAAGAGGCAACAAGCGGAAGTCCACTTCTCCACCTGGTCCCGAGGAGCAAGCCCATCGGCAGCAGAAGAAGCGCTCGCTGCCTGCCAGCGTTCAGGCCTATGAAAGTGGGTACCCTGTCTCCGGTGGGTTCACCATGCCCTCTGTCCCTTTAAACCACAACCTTTCCCACCCCTTTGCTCCCCAAGCAGGCAACTCTTTGTATATGGGCACAGGCTCCTCCTATTACCAGATGCCTAGCTTGCTCTCCGACCCTCACCTGGTGTTCCCTGTGACTACTGACCCTCTGCTGACAGCCGGCACCGCTAGCTCCTCTGCTGCTACCTCAGCCACCGCCAGCGTCCCCTCTTTCATGTTAAACCCCTCCATGACGGGGATGCTCTCCAACTACTCGCTGCCCTTCACGCAGTCACTCCTGCCTGAGCCCAGGATGTTTGCTCCTTTTCCAGCCCCTGCCTTGCCAAGCAGCCTTCCCAGGAGCATGGCCTCCGCTTACTCTGGCTTCCTATCCCCCCATTCGGGATATCCAGCTGGGGGCCTTCTTCGGTCCCAGGTGCCTCCGTTTGACACCCATGAGGTCTCTGAGGTGGGCTGCAGCTCCAACGAGGATGAGGACAAAGATGATGATGTAATAGAGATCACAGGGAAGTAATCGGCCTAGTGTCTTCTTGTAGATCTCAACTCAGCTAGGAGGGAAAAATTCCTCACTGGATCTTTCTGGGGTCAGGAGTTTACATCCAGGACACACAGCAGACAGCGTGGTGGTGGAGGAGGAGGAAGAGGAGATTGGGAAGGAGGTGGCATTGTTAGTTGTCAAAGATTTGCATTGCATGGGGAACTCTGTTGAATGGAACCCCATCTGCCCCACCACCACCAAGAGAGGGGGAGACTAGAGGGCTGGGAGGAGGGAAGGAACCATGCACACCCTAGGAGTGCCTCCTTGATTTTCTCTTCCATGCTGTCTGTATTGTCTGAAAGGGAGACCTGCCATTGTGTTTTCAGTGCCCTTGGCTAGGCGGGAAACACTGGATTGATCATCTTTTTTAGAAATTTGTCTGTGGAATAATGCTCACACACGAACTGCCTTACCTGTGAAGTTCATTATCCCATAATTAAATAGGGGTTGAGTTTGTGCCCTAGGAGTCGTAATGATGATAACAGTGGTGATGATGATGATGGTAATAATGATGAATAACATTAATAATGGAGGGCGGGAGGTGGGGTTGGAAGGAGCAGGCAATGTGTAATGTGTAGGTGGGAGGGTGTGGGTGGGGCAGGGTCTATGTGAAAACCAATGTTGTCTTTCATTCTTCTGAAAGCTGGAGACAAGAGTAGTCCTGTGGCTTTTGCTCACCCCCGGTTGAGTGGTGACAGGACTCGGGGAGCAGCAGGGCTGGTACATGGTGTGCCTGTCACCTTCCCCATTCGAAAGCAGCCACCTTTGTTGCTTCCTCTTTGGCAGGGTCAGGTTAGCACTTATAGAGATCTTTTAGTGAGGTAGTGGTCGGTGAGGGAACTCTGAAGGCTTTCTTGGTTCCCTTTCTAATGTTTTGTAGTGATGACTCTTCCTCTTCCTGCCACTCCTCCCAGCTGAGGTGCAAGTCCACAGGCTGGCAGAAGGAAGCTTAGCTGTCAGACCCTTCTGGCCCGCAGCAGGTTGAGCCTCTTCCTAAAGGGACATACGTTGAGAGCCTTCCTGGTGCCACTACCCATACCTTGGTTGACACTGTGACTGGACTAACCTCCTCCTTCCATAGAGCAGCTTTGTTAATGGATTTCATGAAAGCAAAATATTTATTTTGGAGTTCTTTCTTCCACTTCTTCCTTCTAGTGGCCTCTGCAGAAAAGGGTGATTGTTCACAGAATGGGGGTCCCTGTAGGGAAGAACTAGGGAGACAGATAGGTTGCTTGACCAAGGCAGTGGCTGGGTGCAGGACCAAGACAGAAAAAGCCCCTCCCAACACACTCGCAGGCACGTATGCACATGCACACGTGCACCCCAGCCACTCTCCTGGCTGTCTTCAGCTGATCAAGCAATCCTGAACTGTTTGTGCCTCTTTGAAGAAATGGGTGGTGATCTTAGAGATTAGTTTCCCTGCTGGCCAAAGCCATTCATGGCTTCTGCTGCCTTTCTTGCCATGCTTCACATGCTGGGCAGCGGTGGTGGAAGTCAGGTGGGAGGTAAGCTGTTTGAAAAGTTGGTAACTGAGGCAGGTTCCCACCATCTCGGTAGTTCATGACTAGGAGAGGAGGATTTGGGGGGTGGGGGTGGATGTGTCCTCTTTGGACTGTTGGGAGGCTCTGGGCCGAGGTTACGCCGTGATAATGTGGTAGCAGAGCTGTGTGAGGTGAAGTCAGTATCTCCCAGGGAAGGCCTAATGGAGAGAGGAAGTTTCCTGATTGTTGACCGTGAAATCTGTGTCTGTCTACCTGTCTGTTGCTGGCAAGTGAGGAGTACATACAGAGACAAAGGAGTGCTGTCCACAGTTCTTCCTAAGAGAAAACTCTGGGTAATCCGTCCTGTATTTCACGGAAGTGAGGAGTACATACAGAGACAAAGGAGGCTAAGGCTTACTCTGATGGGATCTCTTTCCTAAGAGAAAACTCTGGGTAATCTGTCCTGTATTTCGGACTCCTGCAGTAAGGTGGTTCCAGGGAAAGGGGGCGGAGGCCCTGCCCATCCATGGGACATAAGTCAGCAGGACAGGTGGCCAGAGACTTGTGCTTAGCAGTCTTTTGTGGTTCAGACCTATTCTCACATGATCTTTGGTATATCATTGCTGCAAAGGAATAAGGTAATGTGAGAACAGAATGTTTGTCCATGCTGTTCAAGAACTAACCACCTCCTCAGTTATAGAGATAGTGGCTAAGAGTCCTCTATAATAGATGGTTCCGAAAGAAAGCTCCTTTTGTCTGTGTGTGCTTGCGTGTCTGCGCAGTTATATGAACCATTAAAAAGCATGTAATAATTGGACTTTCTGACTGTCTTTCTCTGTCTGTTGGACACTGTCTGTCAGACCTAACTTCACCATTCATAGAAGCCTTAGAGTTACAGTTAGCTATGCAAATTACTTTAATTATTTAAAAAATAAAAACATTAAAATAGTGCTTTCTTCTTTAACATATCCTAGGAGTTGAAAACCGAGGGGTTCTGAGCAAACTTCTGGACAACTTGTCTTTGGATGCACCATGGGAATAAAAAAAACAAACACAAACCCCCACAAAAATAACAAAGCAAATTAAGTGATGGTGTCCATTCGCGTTTCTCCAAAGACTTGGCCATGGTACGTCTGTGAGTCATGCCCTTTTGTGATTTGTATTTGTCCACCTCATGCAAAATATGATGACACTGATTGTACTGTAAACTCACTCAGATGTCTTTTGCAACCCACTAAGTGGACGTGGGGACTGGATGTAGGCAAGGTGGTTTCCTGCTTGATTCGGAGCTCCTGAAGCCTAAGCAATTTTTGAAGAAGGATACTGGTTCTTGAGGTTTCAGGCAAACATGGTCTTCAGTAGGTGGTGGGTTTTGTTTTTGACAGCATAGCTGATTACATCCTGAGACATCCTAGTAGGTTCTGTCTTGTTACTTTCATCACTCAGCTGAAATCAAGGCAATCTGATGTGTTTGTTACTTCGAACAGTGTTTCTTTATGATTCTCTCGTTCCTTTTGAAGAACATTGAAGAGATCAGGAAGAGCCACTGGTCTAGAGGCAGGATTTTAGGACATCCTCACTACAGTAGGTGGGAGGTTCAGTTAGGGGAATAGACACTTCTGAAATTAAGTAAACCAGACTCTGTAACCATCTCTAAATAGGAATGGAAGGTAAGATAGCTGTTAGATCTAGGAAATGGTGTGCACCTGTAACTTTACTACACAGGCCACTGGATGGCAGTGTTGCATCACATGGCTCTTTTAGGTTTAAAATACCTTATTTTGGAAAACTGGCTTTTGTACTCCATTAAGAAAACGATGAAAATGTTACATCTGTCTGTCTGTCTGTGCATCTCTCTCTTTCTCTCTCTCTCTCTCTCAACTAACCTTATGTTAGCAGAATGCTTGAGAACGTATTTGCACCTGTGATAACTGCTCTACTCCCTGTCTCTCAGTACAGTACCTTCAGTTAGACCACACCACCGAATTACTTTCTGTAAACTTTGGAGAAAATTATATTCATTGGGACAGATGCCTCTACTTCAGCAAGTGCCTGAGCTGGGTCTCTTTCCCACCTCTAGGGATCTAAACCAGTTTGTTTCCCAGTACTGAAACTGTTATTCTCCACCACCTGCCGAGAGGGAACCCCATTGCCCATAGGAATGAGGGTTACACTCTTCTCTGCAAGTCTTCTTGCTCCTTAGAGGGCATGAAACACCCTTCTTCTCAAAATATTTCAACTCTCCCAGATGTTCAACCTCCTCTAGGAAGCTGTGTAATCCAGCAATGAAGGGGTGGCTGCTGTGCCTTGTTTACGAAGGGCAGAGAATGCTTGACTTGGGAGCGGTGTCAGAATGGCTTAGTGACATACCTGGTGGAAGGTCAGATAGGCCCCTTCCTTGATGCAGCTGTAATCCCCAGGAATGTAGTGGCCTCTGAGAAGCAGCCTCTGTTTGCACTGTGTTGAGATCTCTGAATCTAACCATAGCCACTGGGTCTCCCCGTTTCCTTTCTCTCCAGTACCATTTCGTGGTTGAATTCCTAAGGCTTACTCTGATGGGATCTGCTTGAGCCTGTGTGACTTGCACTGGTAAATTTTCCGACCCCCCCCCCCAAAAAAACCCACAAAAACTTGACAAAGGTAAATTGTGATATCCAGGTTTGTACAGATGCTGACATGGAGCCAGGACCTCTAGTTGCACTGGGCGAAGGCCAGTGAAGGCTTTGCGCGACTGTTGTGTACCCCAGAAGCCTTGGAGAACTTTTATAATTGTAGGGCTGCTTGTCAGAGCATACTGCAAGGTGATTCTAGTATACTGTAATATTTCTCCAGCAGCTGTACAGTCCCATTATTGAGGCTGAGTGGTTGAGAAAGAAACGTGATCCCTTTAATAATTACTGTGGGGAAAGAGGTGACCTTTAAACTGTGACATTTCCCAGACTTTGATAATACACAACCTGTTTGCTCCTACATAGGGCAGCGTAGATTTAAAAACTGACCAAGATTTTGTATGGACAACACATTGCTTGTGCTGGTATACCCTTCATTCATTTGGTGGGCACAAATCTGGGAGGCATCTCCCCACCTATGTAAGAATCATATGTATGTGCTAGTTTCTGGGCTTTCTCTTTGTCACACTCTTGTATGGCCTCTGTGAGAGAAGAACAGGCTTGGTATTCAGTGGGTCTTATTGCATTGTATTAGACAGTTAATTAGGCTGCAATTTGGGGCAGAATTCAAGAAATCAAAATTGGACTAACCCTCCCCCCCAAAAAAAGGTAATACCGCCAGGCCTCCTTGCAGAAGTCAGGTGTTTCCTCTGCCTCTCTTGATAATGGCAAGCATGTTGCTAGATTTGAGGAATACTAACTCATATTGTGCCATCCAAATTATGGGATCGAATCTCAGCAGTGCAAATACCTGTGGGAAGATCATGGCAAATCACTAAAATTTTAAATGTATTTGTACTGGGATCTTGGTTTTAAGCACTGCTGGTATCATTGCTAAACTGGAGAAACATTTGCTCTGCGGACTCAACAAACGTAAATGTTCATCAACAGATAAAATAGATAAGTGATTTTGTCTTCATGCTTGAATGCTGAAATTGTATCGAGCCAAGCCAGCTGGTTTACAAGTGAGTGGACATCTGGTTCTTGTGGGACTGTCTGCTCCTTGTAATTCAACAAGAAAGCAGATTCTCTGACTATGGGGAGAATACTGTGTATTCAGGGAGGATCAGCAGAGAATCAAGGAAGCTGGGTGAAGACCTGGCGGAGAAGGGGTGGGGGGGGGGGTTGGGAATCTTTTCTTCTTGTTGTACTCTTTGAAACAAGACCACTAACAGCTACCTGCAGCTGCATCGCTTCTTGGGACCCATATTATTAGCTTCCTGGCTTGTGTTCTCTGTCCCTCCATTAAATCCATTTGTACAGGGGAGCTGAGTGAATCCAATGGTTTTCTTGGTTTGTTTTTGTTCAGCCTTTAGTTTGTGGCCTGTCTTTTGTGATTGGGGAAAATAAAAGGCATTTCTGTAGCAGGGTCAGTTGGTTGGCTGGTTGCACGCATGGGTCATGTGCTTCCCCCATCTCTCTGTCAAATAGAATGTGCTCCCCAGTCTCCCAAAACAGAGGCACTGAACGATTTTGTTGTTTATATGATGTATTTATTTTTACTTGTGTTTCATGTCATTTTTTTAAAAAAATAATAAATGGTAAGTTGGTATAATGCCTATAAATTCTCTCTCCTTTCTTTAAAAGAATAAACTTCAAATGTTACCAATAGTCCCCTTCCTCCCCAAGCCCACAGATTCCTTTGCACGTGTCAATAAACTTTGGTTCTCTTGTTCCATAGCTGTAGTTAGAATCACAATTTTGTGATTTAGCTGGATCAGAGCTATTTCTGAAACAGGAAGACATCCCCTAGATAGGCTGCTACTTAAAAATCTGAATATAGATGTTTTCCTCACCCAGTTTCAGTTCACTTTCTCTACCAGCACACTAACAAAGGTGAATTAATTATCTCTCTCTCACACACACACACATACACACAAAAGTCTCACAACTCCTCCAAAGATAAACCAAAGAGCTTCGCCAGTTACAGGCTGTTTTTGAATTATAAACCTCAGGTTGCAGACCACCATTGTGTCTTGATCCCCTTCCCCCATATATGCCAACTTTCATAATAGTTTTGGGTTGCTTGCGGCCACAAATCACAACCAATAGCAGGAAGTTCATGTTTTGGTTTCTAGTTTAACTGTACATCAGTTTTACAGTGGGGTATGGCCAAATAGTAGGGGCTTGTAGCCAAAAATATTGGCACCCTTGCAATTCTGTCAGAAAATGCAACCCTTCTCTCAGAAAATTCTTGCAGTTGTAAATGTTTTGGTACTCTCATGTTCATTTCTTTGGTTTGCATTGGAACAACACAAAAAACAGAGAAGAAAAGTCAAATCTTATACAATCCCACACAGAAACCAAAAAATGCACTGGCCAAAATTAT